CCGCTTTGTGGCTGTTTCTAAACCTTCAATATAGCCAGCAACCAACTTGCTTATGATATGCCGGTTCAAATCACATCTAGATATTTGGCCTTATAGGCTGAATGACTTTCATATTTCTTCATTTAGCAGATGCTTTTATCCAAAGCGACTTACAAATGAGGAAAAAGAAGCAGAGTAGCAATTTAAATATGCCATGACATGTTCATTTAGCAGTTCAATACACATATGCACACATAGAGGAGCGAGTGTGTGTGAATGTCATATTCATTAATACACTACCTGGCCTAAAAGGTCCATATTAATACCTCGAGGGTACATATTAATACCTAAAAAGTACAAAAGTGTTCCTCTTAAATTTTTTAGGTGCTAATATATACTTTTGAGGTACCAATATGGACCCTTTAAGTACAAATGTGTACCTTTTTAAAAGGTACCACCCCAGTGACAACTTGTGTATCTTTATTTCTAAGAGTGTACTGTAAATAACAAAACTCAATTTTTGATTAGAAATTCCCAAATAACTTTAACAAATAAAGGGACTAAGCCCAAAAGAAAATCAATGAGTGAATAATTGAAGCCCCTAAAAGACTGGCGTGTTATGTTAGACAAATGCAAAATGCAGAGAACACTGAAATAAATAAATGTCCAATTCCTAAAAAGTTCAAATGTGCACCTCAAAAGTTCATTTTAGACGGTGTCACTTTATTTTGATGGTCCATTTGAGTTTTAGTAGACTGTCTGCTTAATATCTGTTGATTCTGCTCCTTCAACAGATTTTTAACTGACTATAAGAAACTTTGCAAGTACATGACAACTAATGCCTAGTTCAGACTGCGTGATTTTAGCCCCGATTTTGGCTCGCCGACAGGTTGAGAAATCGCCGACAAATGCCTGAAATCACAGGCAAATCGCTGCTCGTGCACGTGAGTGACGATCACACAGTATGAACTATCAAAGACGCGATCTGAGAGAATCGCCGATGAGTCGCTGATGCCTGTGAGATATTTGGCGTGCTGAATATCTGGAGCTGTCGGTGATTCAAATCATACCGTGTGAAATGAGTTTTGACTGAAAATAACATCGTCGATCGCCTACAGCCAATGAGAGAGCAGCTTTCGCTTGTGTGTGTGTGTGTGTGTGTGTGTGTGTGTGTGTGTGTGTGTGTGTGTGTGTATAGCTGCTGCAGGCCAGTTAAAAGCGCTCTTTTTCGGTTTATTTGGACCCACGAAATGGAGGAAAAACTAGTGGAGGTTTGACAGGATTCAGGAGCAACCGTGTCTGTTTGACATTTTATACAGAAAGAAATTAGTTTATTATCAACGTTGAGGAGAAATGGCTAATTCCCTTTAAACCCAGGTGAGCAAACATGTACATGTTCTACCCCATTAAAGGCTTCTTTCTCATTATGTAGTTATGAGAACGTAGTTTGGACGAAGTTGTCGGCGATTCTTCCTATAGTAAAGTCATGCAATGTGAAAGTCCCTGTCCCCGATCCATCTTGCAGTGTAAACAAAGCAGCGACGAAACGCTAGCCCAGATAGTCATGCAGTGTGAAAACATCTGTGACACGACTACTTTTAAAATCATGCAGTCTGAACTCGGCATACACTACCCCAAACTCTAACAGTCTACTTATAATCTAATGAGAATTAGCTGACATGCAGATGCAAGGTACCTTAAATTCAACAAACGGACCATCAAAATCAAGTGTGACCCCTTTAAATGCTGATGTGATGACCGAAAATGCTCTTGAATGAAAGTTAAAGCATTGTGCAGAAATCAATCCCCCAATTTTCCAGCGTTGCCTTCACAGACGTGCTCAGTTTGTCTTCTCCGCTGTCTTTGTTTTCTTTTTTTTCTGCAGAGATTGACTTGTTGTTGGTGCTGCGCATGTGTCTCTGCAAGTCCTGAGTTTCTGCTAAGGCTTTCAGTGCTGTCAGTTGTGCCCTGTGGTGCTTTTCCAGACTACAGCCTGCCGAAGAGCAAAACAAGGCTGCTTAACAAAAGCTTCACTGCAGATTTCCTCTAGACAGCGCAGGGAGACCTCTGCTGTCGAGAGATAGACTTCAGCAGCTGAAACGCTTCAGCTTTGCGATCGTCCTTAATTTTACCTGTTGGGTCCTGAACGCTCCTCTTCATAATAATCCAACTCTACGTCAACTTGAAAGCTTGATGAATGTGCTCATGACAAATCTCCAGCGCCGCCGAGCCCTCCTCTCTCCGCATAAATACTTTATTGCACATTTTTTATGTTGACTCTAAATGCCAGCGCTCGTATGTCAGTATTGTTCTGTGAAGCACAGCTCCCCTCGGGCCCCGTTCCTCTTTTGGAGAACCCGTAAACTGGTTTCGGGTTTAAAAATAACGCCACAATCTCGTATGAAACCAGCTGCTGCTCTCGAAGCTGACACTTTATTTACTTAGTGAGGAAATGCTCCTCGTAAACTCATGAATTCTTAACGCATCTGTTTTGGCAGCCGTCATTTGTCTTGGTGTATCAGATTTGTGCAGTGATACGTGTGCACAGATCAGATGACCCCCTTAAATTTGTTTGTCTTTCAGCACATGAGGAGGAGTGCATGAACTACTTTTGCAGTTTTCAGACTTTCCTTAAACCTCTATGCTTTAAAAAGAAGAGGATTTTCAGAAATGCAGGGCTCTGTAGTGGGAGTGTATATTTGGGCGCGCTGACTTTCAGTCAAAACACACACACACACACACAGGGGACAATGTGACTGTGTTTACATGGACATCTGTAGTCAAATTATTTGCCAAATTATTAAATGTTGGACTTTAACTGCAGTTTGGCTCTTTCATTCAGGGAATTCATTCATGTCCCTCGCAACAAACGAGATATTTGATTCGAGGAACTGCTCTAAGTGTGTATTTATCATGCAATGTTTGATACCGCACGGCGAATGAGAGAAAAAAAACTCAGCATTTCCCGGTGTTACGGTTTAACTGGTGACCGTGTTAACTGGTGTCCCTTTCCAGATGTAAGCTATTCACGTTTGCAGATTCGTCACTTTTTCACAGCAACAAAACATGTCCATACCAAACAAAGATTCTTATTACTTGGTGTCAGTGTCATTGTGAGCATTATATCTGTGTAGCAGAACATTATATAACCAAAACAAATCTAAAACAAATTATTAGAATTTACATGTCTTCAACAGGATTTGAACCCGTGTAGTGAAAAGGTTCAGCACACACACATCAATCAATTTATCTAACTGAGCTACTCGGAACTACTCATGATGTGGTCTGTTTTAATATCTTTGTCGGTTAAAACATGCCTTGCTGTGGTTGTGGACCCGTGTTAACATGTTTCCATCGGTGTTAACATGTTACATGTACTCGCGGTAACGTGTTTCTACAAACTCTCCCGCTGATAGAATAGCTCTCAACGACTGAATGATGCTTCACCAGTTGCTCAAACCATGTTTTTTCTTAGTTCTAGACTCATGTGTACCCGTGCCTTAGGAGTCGTGTTAACTCGTGACCCATGCTCATACATGTAACGTTAACGTAAATAAAGATTTTATCAAAAAATGAATACAATGACGATGCAACAAATTATGTCTAAAATATATAATATATATTTCATATATAATATTATGCAAGTTAATGCAACAGAATATTAGAATATTATGCAATCAGAATATAATAGTCCCATTGACTCGTGTTATCCTGTGTCTACAAAAGCCCCTTTCACACAGTGATACCCGTAAATATCTGGAAAATTTCCGGAACGACTTTACCGGTATATTCAAAAAAGCGCTGTTCACACAGGCGAGGACGTTACGGAAATTTTCCGGAAAAGAGCATTCACACATCCATTCCAAAATACCGGTAAATTCTGACATCATTAACCACAAATGAGCTCTAAACGGCTGCGCTTGTATTTGTAAACATTTGACTACATTACAAACTCTGTGGATGATCAATATTGTGAACAACTTTCGCAGGATCACTTTCGCATGTCGAGATGTTCATAATATGTGTGTGTGCAGGCGCTCACAGGCTGTTTCACGGGCACACGCAAAGCTTGAAGGTAAACAAACAACGGCTTATCATAAGCATCTCATTGATGATTATTTACACAGTTGGCATTAAGAAGAATATATAAACGTGATCTGACAGCCTGATCTCACGAGAAAACTAAGTATTTTATGTTTTGCCAGTTTAGTGGCTAATTCGTACAAATTCGTACGAGTTCAGTTGTACGAAATGGTACGATTTTAAAAAGGAGGCGTGGCACCTGACCCCACCCCTAACCCCAACCGTCATTGGGGGATGAGCAAATCGTACTAAATTGTACGAATTAGATCGTATGAATTCATACGAATTAGCCACTAAATGAAAAAGTTACGAATTGCCGTGAGATTGTGTTGGATCTGACTAACTTCTAGCAGCTAAATGTGTCTGGAAAATATTCAAAGGCTTTTATTCTCACAAACCGCGCGGACGTAAATGCGTCTGACTGTTGTGATTGGCTAAAGCAGACGTCTCATGTCAGCACGTTCTAGACGTGCACACGCTTATTACGGCAATCTTCCTTCTGCATTCACACAGCGCAGCTTTCCGGCAAATTGCCCGTAATGTTACAACTTCTCTTTCCGGAAAATAGCCAGAACGAATTTACCGGTATTTTCAAAAAGTACTTGTTTACACATACACACCTTTCCGGAAAATTGCCGGCAATTTTCCGGAAAGGTCTGTATGTGTGAAAGGGGCTATTAATGTCACACGAGCTGTGTGCTGCAGTGCATATCAGAGTGTGTGTGGTCA